AACGCTTTGTTAGAAGGTACAGTTGTGGAGTAGCAAGGGTAAGGGAAAATAAAAGTGAGGTCGAGAAGGAGGCGAAGCATATACAAGGTGGTGCATTAGCAAGCTGGCCAGTCTGCACAGAGATACACTAGTTGCTCAGCCATGAAGGACATCTCTGGGTGAGCTCTTCAGAAGCCCCGTGCTGCAGAACAGTTTCTCAGTGAAGGCCTGGAGAGGGAATTTATCTGCTGACGTCCTCTTGTTTCTGTCCTTCATTGGTCACAGTTGCCCCAGGAGGAGTTAATTCCCCCATGCTCACTCCTCAGTTGCACTCCCAGGGCCCTCCAGCAGCCCCTGGGGAGGTCAGCGTGGTGTTTCGCTGGAGTCTGGAAGTAGCAGGAGGAGTCAGAGATTTGGGGACTGCACAGTCTCCTTCACTGAGTCTGAGGCAGAGCAAGTGGCCCAGGGCCCAGGAGGCAGGTGAGGCCAAGAGAGTACAAGGTGGTATATCAGATGCATCCAGTATAGTGGTGTGTGGATTTTATTCTTTCCTGTAGTTCCTTATAAGGTAGTCTTACCTGGACTGCCAGGTCTTTGCCAAGACTGATTGAAAACCCAGCTGGCTTTTGCATGTTGGTTTATACAGCCTTTTCTGCTGCTTAATTGTCTAGTTACTGAAGCAGGAGACTTTGGAGTTTTGATGGTACCCACATGGGAAGTACAAGTCAACATGTCCAGGTACTGGATAGAGAAATTACGGTCAGCCCTCCATATCTGCAGATGCAAAACCTGTGTATACGGAAGGCTGGCTGTACTACACCTATTATATAAGGGACTTGAGCATCTGTGGATGTTGGTATCTGCGGGGCCTCCTGGAACCAATCCCTTGTGGATACTGAGGGACAACTGCATAAGGATTGGTATGCATGAACATCTAGGCTTTGTTAGGTTCTCAGTGAAGGAGAATGTTTTTCATGTGATGTGGTAGTTGAAGGTATGAAACCTGGAGTCATGAGATGGGGCTGGAGAGGGCAGTAGGGCCAGGTCATGCAGAGTCAAAAAGGCCCTTAGGGCTAAGTAATTTGGACTTTGTCCTGAGAGTAGTGGAGAGCCTTTGGAGGGTTTTTAGGGAGAAAGAGACAAAATGAGGAGCTGTAGTAAGCTGTGATGGCTATTTTGTAGAGCAGAGGTGGGAGGGAGGCCACGTAAGATGAGAGACCAGTGCAGGTAGGGGCCAGTATAGCTGCAAGAGGGACTTAGGGGTGGCTCAAATCAGGGTGATAATTGAGGCATGACATCAGGTAGGGAGAGTAGGGTGCCTCCCATGCTTCCCTGTGGTGCCAGTGAGAGCAGCTTATGGGCCCAAATGGACATCCATGTGCATAGGTAGGTAGGGCCTCCTGGAGCCTCTGTTGAACTCTTCCTAGGTTGAGCACTCAGGTCCTCTTGGCTCTGCCATTCAGAGTTGGCCACACTACTGGGAGGTAAGACCGCTGCGGGGAGCCCTGTTCAGGCTCATTTTGCCCCTTCACAGAAGGCAGGCAGCCTCTTGTTCAGAGCTAAGCCAGACAAATACATTGTTAAAACTCAAGCTGTTGCATTTGGGTTGCAGCTGGGAGCTTGGCAGAGGTTCCTGCCTGATGAGGTAAGGGGAGAAGCTAAGGACACTGCTGGTTTGCAGTTGGAAACATCTTTTCATGGTTATTTGGCCAGGTTGTAAACGTCCTTTCCAAAGAGCGGGCGTGCTAAGGCCTGTGATTGTATGTCTTGGAATTGTTCTGTGCTTAGAAATAGTGCCGGTCGCCTGGTGGGTGATTTATTGTCACTGGGGTTTTGGCAGGCTTTGGAGGACCTCCCTGTGGGGGTCCAAACTCAGGCTGCTGGGCCGCTTTGGAGTCCGTTTGAGAGGGCCTGCTTTGTTTTCTTTTCATTTTAAATATGAAATATATTTTAAATTTCCCATAGAACTCCTTGTGGAAAGATTAGGAAATACAAGTAAACATAAAGAGAAAAATAAAATGATTTCACCAATATACAACTAGATTTCTAACTCTCCGCTTGCATATATATGCAGGTATGTAAATTTCCATATATAAACATTTTTCCTTATAAAAATGAAATCATAGAGTATATCTTGTTTGGGAGCCTGCTTTTCTCACTTAACAGGATGCTTTGATCTCTCAATGTTAATGTGCACACAGTGTCCATTTTTACACAATCTATAACAATCCACTGTTTGGAAGAAATGTAACATCTTCTGTTGTTACAGTTTCCTGGAATGAACAAGTCCGTGGTGAGGGTTTTTTTTTTTTTTGCTGTTGTTGTTGGGCCAGACTTTGTTCTGAACTTGGGATGCAGCTCAGAAAAAACTCAGTATTGGTTTTCTGTTCAGACTTGGTGATACTTTATTTTCATAAAAGGGGCCTCAATGTTGCCCATTTCTAGGCCTATTCAGCATGGATTTCTGAGGGTTCCTGGAGGGCTTTTGACAGTGCTGGACACTGGTGGGGGCACTGGGCAGGCATACATGCTCCCACTTATTCTGTCATAAGCAAGCTCTGGGTATAGGTATGAGATGGGATGGGGGGCATGTAGGTGGTTGGCTTTTCCCATTCTGTGGCACACAGTCTTTCCTGGAGACTGCCTCCTCCCAGCCTGACCCTGATTAGATGGCCTTTTGTACACCTAATATAAATTAGTGTTCGGGGGCTCAGGATCAGGAGAAATAGGCTGGAACTCTAGTGTACCTTTGCCTGGGATGGCAGTGTTGATTGTGGTGGTCTGGGGGCTGCGTGGCAGCGCCTAGCTCTCTGGACCAGCAGGGTTGTCATCCCCCTCCTCCATCAGAGCAGGACTTCGTAGGCTCTTGGTCAGCCCAGAATCCCATCTGTGATTCTTTGGGCTCTGCCTCCAGGCTGGGATTCGTCGATAGGCTCAGTCTAAGCCAGATAGCACATTCCAGAGAAATGACAGCTGGTATTCATGTAATGAAGGAACTTGGCTGCTTTACTGAGTGCTGTAAGGCATGAACCATGGGCAGTATCACCAGGGTGTCTTGAAAGGAACAGAGAGTCTTCTCCCTCCCTTAAATTTGCTACCTGATCTCTGAATGGGCATGCCACTGCAACTGGTGACGGAACAGGGGACAAACGCTGGTGCCCCCCAACTTCCAACCATGTTTGGTCTGGTCTGCTGCCTGGGCACTGCTCTCCCATCACCCCAGCCTGATGGGTAGCTGGCTGATGCCTCATTGTCTGCAGATACAGCCTCCTGGCTTTGGGTTTTTACTGTTCCCTCCCTACACACATACAGAAGGCGTTCTCCTGAGCTGATGAAGCCTCTTGAAGTACAAGGAGCAGACCCTAACCCTGTGAATGGGTCTTATGTAAGCAAGAAGAGAGGCCTTCTGGAATCCCAGGGTGGAGATGTGGTATGCTGAGACCTGGGAGCAGATTTGTGGCTGGCAAAAGGGGGATCTGGGCTTTACCTTGGGGCTAGGCTGGGCCATCTCACCTCTTCTCGGTGACTTGCTTTCATCTGCTGCCCTAACTTTATAATGGATCCCTTAGCCCATACTCCCTACCCTGCAGTAGGTTGTGGGCTGAAGGATCTTGTTCTGTGTATCTCTGGGCCCCTGACGCCTAGGGTATTGATGGGCATGATGTCAGCTCTGCAGACATTTGGCAAGGGATGAACAAATGGGGACACTCACTTATTCTCTCCTCTTCCTCATATAGGAACCCGTTTGAGGGTGGGGGTCGTGGTTGGGTTTCTCTGAGCCTAATCTGGAACCACAGTGGATTGGAATTTCTTCTGAAAGGGTGAGGTGAGGAATGGTGGGCGTGACTGTGCATCTAATCATCGCAGGCAAAAAACTGCTGAGCTGGCGTTAGCTCAGACTTAGAATTCTGTGAGATAAGGCTTACATTTTGGAGAGAAAGCATTTGTATTTCCTTTATATTCCTTGTTTTCTCCCAGTAAATTTCCAGTGGGGCTTGGCTGAAGTAGAGCAGGAAGAGGAGGGACTGACAGAACCAGGGCTTACGCGGGTGCTGTTCCTTCAGCGTGCTCCAGGCTGCATGGCTGAGCTTGGAGATGATGTCCAAAGCTTCCATTGTGTACTTGGGTCCACTGCCAGTGGGGCTTGCCCCATGGTGTGCCTGCTGCCTTCAGAGCTGGGTCTCGCTATTTCTAGGCTGATGAGAAGACAGCAGCTGGCCTCTTACTCATGTCAGCAGCCCAGCCTGGCCTAAGGTTTTGGCCCTGTGTGGCTGATTCATTTTTGTATCCCGAGTGCGTAGCTCAGTGCCTGGCATATGTGGGTCTTTAGTAAATATTTGCGAATGGTGATTCTCCATGAGGACAGTGTCTTCCAAGGAGCTCACTACAGGAAGAGCAGTGTCTGCCCAGTCTGCTCTAACTGTGGCCAGGTGCAGACCAGCAGGGAGCAGTCTGATTTCTCTTCTGGCTCACCATCTGCTGTGCACCTTATTTTGGGTGTGGGTCCCCTGGGGCATATTGTGTCAAGTTCTCTTTCTGTTATTGTCTCTCCTGTACTTTGTCTTCTTGTGGGCAGGGACTGTGTGTTACATCTGGGTCCTCAGCACCTGGCACTGTCCTCACACCTGTGCTGGAAGGAAAGACAGAAACGGAGAAGAGGTCTGGGCCAGAATGTTGAACTGACAGACTATTAGACCCAGAGGTGACTGTCGTCCACGGCCTCCACCTCCATTCAGCCTTCCCGTGTTGTCAGTTTTTACCAGAAGTCGAAAGGCAGAGTCTCTCCCAAGGGCACTTGGCCTCCCAGAGCAGGGGACAGAATTAAGCATACATCCCTGGTTCTATACCCTGGCATCTTTCCACTGGTGGTCCTGAATATTTTCCCTGGCTTCTGTGTGTTAGGTCAGGATTTTGGCATGTTTGAATGTGTGTATATATGTGTACATGTGTACGTGTATCCTTACTTAAGTTGCTTTTTACCATTGTTGATCTAATGACTACTATCACTGAATGCCTTGCAGACACTGCCTTCTGTGACCATGAAACTCTGGGTATCCATGTTGCTGGTGGCCTGGTTTGGTGTCCTGGGCTGTGTGCAGGCTGAATTCTTTACTTCTATTGGTATGTGCCAACAGGACTGTTGTCTACCTGAGCAATCCTTGGCTCATGTGCCAGGGGATGTCACTGCCTGAGGCCTGTTCTCATTCAGGGTGGGATGGCCTCATCCACTGGCTTTGACCAGATCTGGGGAGAGCTGCTGTTTCCCCCTCTGAGCCCTGATGACCTGGATGTCCTTCCTGGGAGCCAGCTGTCTCAGCTGAGCCTCCACCCTGGGTAGTGCAGGCTGCTCCTGGGCTGCCTGGCATTTCTGACCAACTTTCTCCTGGACTAGAGAGTAGTTCTGAGCAGAGAAGCCCCCAGGATGTCTGTGTCCCATAACATGACCCAACTGGGTGGCAGTGGGAGAATGAGATTTGGGGTTTCTTCCTTAAGGTGTCCTCAGTGCACTTAACATTCCCTTGGAGCCTCTGCCTCTCTCTTCCTGAAGCGGGGGGCCAGGACCATACGAATATCTAGGCCTCCTTTAACTCTAGGTCCCCATGATCCCAAGAGAGTTGATATGCCCTTGGCCCAGGGGGCTGGCCTCTGTGCTGACGTTTTGTGCCTCAAGTTTGGGAGCTGGATGTCCCTCATCCATTTCTTACTGGCCCTTTTATCTCTCCCTTGCAGGGCACATGACAGACCTGATTTATGCAGAGAAGGACCTGGTGCTGTCCCTGAAGGAGTACATCTTGGTGGAGGAAGCCAAGCTCTCTAAGATTAAGAGGTGTCTAATGTCCTAAATCCCCACACCCACCCTGAGCCAGCCCTCCTCCCCTGCCCCATCCCCCACCCCCAGAACCCATCCTGGGTGCCCATAAGAGGAAGCCCTTGAGGGGGCAATGTGGGACTGGCCTGGAGGTTACTTCATGCCAGTCTCCCAGAGTAGCTAAGTATGTGGGCTAAGGACTCACTGCTTTTTCCTTTTTAAATAGAGACCCCCTGAATCTCACCAGGAAAATTACCATAGGTCAAGATCCGTGTGTTAACCTTCCTTTTTCTCTGGTTCCACAGCTGGGCCAACAAAATGGAAGCCCTGACCAGCAAGTCAGCTGCTGACCCTGAAGGCTACCTGTCCCACCCTGTGAATGCCTATAAACTGGTGAAGCGACTAAACACAGACTGGCCTGCACTGGAGGACCTTGTCCTGCAGAACTCAGCTGCAGGTGAGGGACAGTGAGCAGGTGGTTGGGTGAGCCAGTATGTCTGTGTGCTGGCACCTGGGGGGTATGGGTCTGAAACTGTCCTGGGTCGGGGTGTGCACGTGCAGTGTGTGAACATGCAGCCTGCCAGTCCAGTGGCTGTCATCTCTGTGGGGACCTGGCAGTTGTCTGTCCTTGCTTTTAATATGTTATAATAATCAGTTCTTCGGGATTCCCTAGTGGTCCAGTGGTTCGGACTCCGAGCTTCCACTGCAGGGGGCACGGGTTTGATCCCTGGTCGGGAGGTAAGATCCTTCATGCCATGCTACGTGGTCAAAAAAAAAATAAATCAGTTCTTGCCTTTTCCTAGTGTTTTGGGGTCCCTTTTTTTTTGGTAGTGACTTTTTTCTAATTACGCTTTAGTAATACATATTTATAGAAACGTTGGAAAACACAAAAACAATCATATAAGAAAATTACAGTTCTTAATCCAATTGCCTAGTGATAATCACTGTTAAAATTCTAGTCTTTTTACACATGTATATACATTTAAAAAAATGGAATCATACGTATATATCGTGGAATGCAAACTTATTTGCTTCGAGGGACCAAATGAATTAGCAAAAGTAAGATAAGTGGGCTAAGTGGTGGGACCAGTGCAAGTTGGGGAGCACGGGCCTCACCTAAATTCATTCCCATTCATATCTTTTATTTCTTTCTTTTTTGCGGTACGCGAGCCTCTCACTGTTGTGGCCTCTCCCACTGCGGAGCACAGGCTCTGGACGCGCAGGCTCAGTGGCCATGGCTCACGGGCCCAGCCGCTCCGCAGCATGTGGGATCTTCCCGGACCAGGGCACGAACCCGTGTCCCCTGCATCGACAGGCGGACTCTCAACCACTGCGCCACCAGGGAAGCCCACCATTCATATCTTTTAGAAAGGAAACATTATCTGTTGGCAGATTTGTGACATAAGCATATACTGTTTTCCTGAATTTTTCAGCTTCTCTATATGTCCTTTAAATGCCCTTCTGCAACATGGTTTTAATGGCTGGACAGTAATATGCCATACTGGTGTAGTGTAAAACAGGTCAAGTCAGTGGATGTGGAATTGTTTCCAGATTATCAGCAATCTTACACATATCTTTATGCCCATCTCTGATTATTTTCTCATGATAAATTCCTATAAGTGGGATTTGCAGGTTAGAGTATGAACTTATTTAAAGCTTTAACTGTGCTTAGTCTTTTACTGTGGTAGTACTTTCTATGCTCTGATATTTTCCTCTTAGCAGGAGATGGTGGGGCAGGCCTGGAGGTGGGCCCTTCTGATTCCAGCCTTGAGCCCAGCCCCCCTGGACTCACTGTCTCTTCTCCCTGAGTTGGAAGTGCTGATTAACTTCAGACTCATCGTTGTCTCTCGGGGGCTGAGGCATTTTAGCCCTTATGGCCAGACTGGGCTGGGCTTGGCTGGGAGCAGGGTGGCCTCCGGGCAGGGATTGGTGAGCTTAGCCGGGCGGAGCTGTGCCCAGTGAGCTCACTGCCTCCAGAAGCCACGGCTGCCTTTCCCAGACCCTGCCTCCCAGCCTGAGCCTGTAGCTCAGAACTGGCTGTCCTGCCTGCAGTGTGGGAGAATAAGCCTGCCCATATGATCTTCTGTTCTCAAGTCTTGTTCTTCATACCCATCCCCGACCGTCAACATCTGGTTCCTCTGGAAAACCTTATAATTACCCGGAGGGAGACAGGATAGCCCCAGACAGCAATACGTTGTTTTCACCTCTTTCTTTCAGAGTTCTTTCCCCAGAAATGGGGAGAGGGGGAGGCAGGGAGACATGCTAACAATGTGGCTTTTTCTGGAAGCATTTTTTTCCCCTGGATTGTAAACGCATAGAGTCTCTGACCATGCAGCCGTGAGGAAGACAGGGTTGCAGCATCTTGGTCCCTGGGTCCCCAGGCAGGGCTAGAAGTGGGTGTTTGAGCCTGAGGTTGTGAGAGTAGGTGGCTATGGGTCCTGCTGCTCTGGAGAAGAGACCAGAGAAGAAATGGCCTTGGACTTCCCCTACTAATTCTCAGCTTATGAGCACAACTGAAGCCTCTGAATCAGCATGGGAGGGCCTGGCCTCCACCTGGAGTCCTGAGATTGCAGGAGGTGTATATCTTGGTTTACAGCTAGGGCTTGGAGTCCCCAAACAGCTTCCTTGGGTGCTTCTGTGCTCAGGGGCTCTCCCAGGCTCCAGGCTGTGGTCTTGAGCACCACAGTTGGGGAACTCATGCCCTGAGCTCATTGTGGGTCTGAGTGGTAGGAGTGCCCTAGTAAGCAGAGCAAGGCCCAGTGTGGTCTCTCAGGGGAACCATGCCGGGCTTATGCAGCCCCACCTAATACTGACCTTGGTCAGATGATTCTCCAGTCCCTAATCTTGGCGTGGGGACAGCACCAAGCACCTCCAGGACTGTCATCATCACCTTTCTGGATGATAAGGGCCAGTGGTCAGTAATGAGTGGCCAGCTGGGCTCTCTGAGTTGACCACTTCTGTCCCTTGGGCTGTTCAACCTGAGATGTAGGCTAGGAATCTGTGATTACCTGGCCAGGCTAATAATCCTGGATCAAGGTTTTCCATGTGATTTGTTTTCCACTGAGTGGTCAGCAAGTCCTCCCTGAGTCCTTTCCTGTGTCCCTGTCAGTTACCCTCACTGCCCTCTTTTCCTTCTCTCTCCACGCCAAGACTCTCAGATTCCCATGTGTTAATTAGTGTTAGGGGGCCTTTCTCTTCAGTTCCAAATGAGCAGCACAGGCAGTTGGTACAGTGAGGAGTGAGAAAGGGGAGGTCTCCCTGGACTGGAGCCATCAAGGAGGGCTTCCTGGAGGAAGGGGAAACAGCCTTTGAGGGAAGGGGCAGGGAGATTGCACTAGCCAGAGACCCTCCGGTGGGTGCCTGTCTGGTTCCAGGTGGAATTCTATCCCTGGATCAGGGTAACCTTTTGTTCTCACTCTCTCCTTTGGAAGGCTTTATTGCCAACCTGTCAGTGCAGCGACAGTTCTTTCCCACTGATGAAGATGAAACAGGAGCCGCCAAGGCCTTGATGAGACTTCAGGACACATACAAACTGGACCCAGACACAATTTCCAAAGGCGAGCTTCCAGGTAACTCACCACTCCGTGCAAAGCCTGTCCAACCTGTGTGTCTGCTGTGGTGTATGGACAAGGATGGAGCCACTGCTGACTCATGGTCTCTACGCTCAGGCTCACCACGACCTCTGGCTGTAGTTCTTTCTTGGGTTTCCAGTTGGTGTCAGTCCTCTATTCCCATGACAACTGTCTCCCCTCAGCCCCTGCCCCACCACCTCCCTCCAGTATTAGCCCAGGCCTGTCCTCTCTCAGCTCAGAGAATGCCGAGGTTGCTGCTCAGGACCTCCTTGGTCTCTCTCCCCAGGGCACCACTCAGGTCTGCACCCACACCCAGTTCTATTCCCCACCCTCCGATTTCATCTTGCCTAAGACTGATCTCTGGATTCATTGCCCCATGTCCTGTGTGCCCTCAGTTACAGTCTCTGCCCCTGTTCATTCTGTGTCCACCTCTCTGGACTCTTCTCCACATGCTCTGTTCTTGCTTATCTAACAAACCACTCCCTCAGGATCCAAGGCCCTTTTGAGTCTCTGCTGCTGACTGATCTCTTCTCCCTCCTGGCTAGGCAGCTGGAGAGTCATCCACACTCTTTCTCTACTTCCTTGGTTCCTATGTCCTCTTGAAAACGCAAAGTCTGGCATCTTTCCTCCCCATTGGCCAGTCCTGCCCCTGCAAGGTCACCAGTGGCCACTTGGCTGGTAAAGCCAGTAGACAGGTTTCAGGCAGAATGTTCTTTAGCTTTTCAGCAGCATTTGGCACACTGATTGCCCCATTCTTCCTGATAGTCTCCCCTCCTTTGAATGCTGGGGCACTGATCTTGGCTGTTTCTCTTTTGGCTCCTCTCTCTCTCATTTTTTTATAGGCCCCTTTTCAATTCGGTTGTCTGCCTCAGTATGTTTATAAGAAGGCATGTGTTGGGGTTTGGGGGCTATTAAAGGCCAATAAACCCAGGAATTCAGTTAGACTCCATTAGACCTTGGATGCCACCTCACCCGTGGGGACCCTGTAGGAGGCACGGCGGAGGGAATCACGGTGAGGGGGAGGGATGCACTGTGTTGCCGGCTGGTCAGGGCCTGGAGCCTTGGTACTGAGGAGTCCAGTGAGCCAACAGGAAGGAGTGTAGACTTCTCCTTAATCCTCACTCAGTCAGGTTTTGGACCAAGCCAGGCCATGAGGCCAGAGAGAGAAGGTGGCTTGGGGCACCTGCAGGATATTTTCACCCTGTCGCTGTGAGAATGGTTGGTGGGAAGAGAGAGCCAGGCATTGACCTTTTACATTCAGTTAACAGACCCGTGCATATCCTGGAGGGGAAATGAGGGGCGGATGGGAGTTGTTCCCCAGGATGCCACCCCTACCTGGTGTCTCCCTAAGCATCTTCTCCAAGTGAGCCCAGCCATTTCCATCACTTGAGGTATCACCTGTACACGGATGACATCCAGATCTGTGTTCCCTGTCAGGGCTTGTCTTCTGAGCTTTCAACCAGTGCAGGCAAATGACTGTGGGACATCTCTACTTGGATGTTCCTTGGGCTCCTTAAAATTCACGTGTCCCAAACTGAAATCCTCATCCCTTTTTGAACTGTCTACTGTCTTTCCTCCTTACATCAGCAAAAAGCACTCCATCCACTGGCTGCTCTGGATTCTACCTCCCTACAATGTCTTTTGTACTTGGAGGCCCTGACTCCAGCCTCATGGTCACTTCTTTCTCAACTGGATTATTGAAATATTATTCTAATTTATTGTATACCTCCAGCTGACTCCTTAAAATCATCCTCCATGTGGTCTTAAGCACATATCTTTTTACATGAGTTCCTGATCACAATGCTTAACTTTTAGGGCTAAACCAAATTCCTCTTAATGTGTGGTTTTTGTGGTCCTGTGTGGCACCATCTCCCTGGCTTCCTTGTCTGTTGTACTAAGCTTTGCCACTGCTCAGCTTCTTTGTTCATCCCACAACCTCTGCAGGAATACCTTTACCCCCTTCAGCTGGGTTTCATCACGTGTGATTGCCCTTCAGCCCTCAGCTCTGCTGGCATTCTCCAGGGAGCACTCTCTAGGGAGCAGACTTTCAAGTTGGCTTCTGGGAAGGATGCTGAGTGTCTGGGAGCCATTCTTGACATTTTTGGTATCTGTGAGACATGTTGATAATAGCTACTGATTATTACCACTCTAGGGAATCATAGGAGACACTTTCGTATGTCGTCTTGTTGAATTCTTGGCGCAAGTCCTCTAAAACTGATGGTATTATCTCTATTTAGAGATAAGGGACTAAGAATCAGAGGGGCTACGTAACTTGTCCATAGTCACACAGTTGTGGGGTGCCATAGTTAGGCCCACACAGACCCTGTTTTGACCAGCTCACTCAGCTGTGTTATACTGCCTCCATCAGTGTTCAGTCCCTCGGCCTACAGAGCCAGAGATCTGTGGAGGTACGTGGAGAGCGAACAGGGACTCAAGGACCTCCCCGCCCCAATCTGTGTTCTGCCTACTAACTCTGTCTTGTGTTTACTCTCTCCATTTTCCTGTCCCACATTGTCTGTTCCTGAGCCATCATGGCGAGCAACCCTTGGTCTCTGAAGCAGCCAACACACTGCATCAGGGGTTTCATGCTGGACATCTTGGACATCAGGCAGCAAGAGACTGCTTTGAGGCAACTCTTCCATGTCAGCCATGCCTAGGCTGCTCTTGATGGGGTTGTAGGGAAACTCCCTTGCTTTCCAGGGAGGATCACAGCCTAAACCCTGCATCTCCCCATAGCTTACACACCACATCTCCTTTTGGACTTGAAACTCTCTTCATGGTCACTTTCCAGCGCTGAGCCAACAGCAGATGACCTGTAGTCACAGGACCTGCTGAATTGATCTTCACCAAGGGCCCCACCACCTAGTGGTCAAATCTGGCACTGCAGTCTTATCTCTTGGTCTCCCTTGGCATCTGTCACATCACTCCTGCTCCTTCTCTTTCTTTCTCAGTGTTATTCACTCTGTCCTTCCTGTATAGGTGGTCTCTGGGGCCCTGGCCTCAGCCACCTTCTCTACTCTTTCCTGACACTATTTCTGGAAGGGATTATCTTCATCCATGGCTTTACCTTCCATCTAAGTTCTGTTTTTTTATATTTAACTTATTTTTCTGACTTCCAGTCTCAAATGGCCGGCTGCCTCATAGACATCTGCCATGTGGCTCACAGGACCTTTATACTTTGCTGAACACTATTCCTTGGGCTTCCTTGGCTCTTCCATAACAAAGGACCCTTCCCACTTGGGGAGTCTGAAGTTAGGAGGTAGGCTGTGCACCCCAGCCCGAGGCAGGGCCAGCCTGGCTGTGCTTTCCGTACTAATGGCCCTTGGAGGTGTGTGGTCTGAAATTCTGGTGGGGCTCTGCTGGGCTGATGCCCCCCACCCAGGGAGCCGGGCTCCCTCAATGGGGGAATCTTTCTCCCTAACCCAGAGGCTCTTTGAGCCTGACTATTTGCCTCTCCTGCTGCAGGAACCAAGTACCAGGCAGTGCTGAGTGTGGACGACTGCTTTGGGATGGGCCGCTCGGCCTACAATGAAGGAGACTATTACCACACAGTGCTGTGGATGGAACAGGTGCTGAAGCAGCTCGATGCAGGGGAGGAGGCCACCACATCCAAGGCCCAGGTGCTGGACTATCTGAGCTATGCCGTCTTCCAGTTGGGTGACCTGCACCGTGCCCTGGAGCTCACCCGCCGACTGCTCTCCCTTGGTAAGGAGGTTCTAGGGGAAGGTCAGATGCAGAGGGGGAGGTAGCAGGGGAACTGGTCACCCTGCTGGCCACTACCTGACTGCTCTCCAGGAACTGAGCCAGTCTGACCTGCCGCCTAGCCACTGACTAATGCTTTGCTGCTTTCAGGCCCAGTCCAGCTGCCAGCTAGCTCTTTACTCGCTGTAGTTCTGGCTTAGCCCTTGCCCAATCACTGATGGATACACTCAGGCCTATGGCACCCGTGGCCCTACATATGGATTCCTAGTCCATTTCTAAATAGGAATCCAGTGCTTCAGTGCATCTCCTGCTATGTAGGGTGGAGCCTATACTGCGTCAGGAATAGCTTGAGAGGCAAGCTGTATTTCAGGGTTGCTGCAGTGACAGTGACCTGACCTGTTAGAGCCCTGAGGTCTAACTGGTGGACTTGCCATGGCTTTGGTGATTTCAGTTGTCCTGTGGGGTTAGACTGAAGGGGATCAAAAGCACTGTGTCTTAAGAACCCATTTGTTCCACCTCTTACTAATATATGGGATATCATAGTCTGAGATTTCACAGACCAGCAAAGACTTCCTTTCACTGCTCCTTTTCATGGGCTTTGGGTCTGAGACCAGCTAGTGTGAATGTCTGTAAGACGGATGTGGGAAGAGAGCTTTTTTGGACTCTGCCGTGTTAGTAAGAGCCTTGTACAGGGAGTCAGGACACCTGGATTTCTCTTCTGAATAACCTAACCTTAATCTCTAACATCTTTGGGCCACAGTTTCCTCATCTGAGGGGTAGCACAGTAATCCTGCCAAGCTTGCTCCTTCTTGTTGTGAGGCCCACAGGACAAAGCTGTGGGAGTGTCATGTGGCCCTTCTTGCCGCCGGTGTTTCAGCCTGCCTTCTAGCTGTGGCCAGCATGTGATGTCACCAGTAGTGGATGTACTCTAGGGGACGGCTGTAACTAGCACACAGCCAAGTGGGGAGGAGGAGGTAGAACTCTGGCCTGCTTCTCTGGACCTGTGTCCTTGGGACTTCCAGGGAGTTCCGGAGGAGAGCCGCGTTGGTGGCTAAGCGTCCCCTGCGCCCCGCTCTTGTTGCTCCTTTCTCATCTCTGACCAGAGTAGGGAGAACCTCTGTTGGCCTTTCCTCTACGACCAGCGAACTGTGCTTAGGTGCTGTGGAAGGCAGAATGCTGCGTGCGAGTGAGCTGCTGGGAGAGAAAACCACTTACAGAATAATTTCTCTAAATGATCTAACAGATGTTTGTGGTTTCCTTTTGCTTCTTCTTCTTTGCTTTTTCTAGACCCAAGCCATGAACGAGCTGGAGGGAATCTGCGCTACTTTGAACGGTTGTTGGAGGAAGAAAGAGAAAAAATGTTATTGAATCACACAGAAGCTGAGCTAGCACCCCAGGAAGGCATATATGAGAGGCCTGTGGACTACCTGCCCGAGAGGGATATCTACGAGAGCCTCTGTCGTGGGGAGGGTGTCAAACTGGTGAGACACGTGGATGGGTCAGGGCCCAGGCTGTGGACCTAGACTTTGGCTCTGGACAGGCAGATCTGAGGAAGATGTTCCTCTGTCTGTAGGTAGTTTTCTCAATTCTTGGTAGCATCTGCTGAGGCTGACACGTGGGTGTGCTCTGAGGTATAGGACAGGAGACTTGTCTTCCCTGATGTCCCAGGCAGAGTTTCAATCCTCTAAGTTATTACTGAGCTCCCCTCTCGACCCCAACAGGGCAGCTTCTACTTGACTCACTATTCTGAAGAAAGCCATGAGTGTGGATGTGCCTTGGGCCTCCACTGAAGTCATGATCTCTAGCAAAGACCAGGCAGTTGCTAGAGTTTGGTGTGGGGTATCACTGGCCTTTGAGAGCCCTTGGACCCCAGTGCTTCCTCAAGGAGGCTCAGGTGTGAGACAATCTCTCGGTCTTCTCCATGCCCATGTCTGCTTGGCTCCCACTGGCTCCTCTGTCTAGAAAGACTTCTCCCTGGCCCTAGCCCTCCTGACCTACTCACATCTCTGTGAGAGGGGCCAGGGATTACACCCTGCTACAGGACTTGTCAACATGAGGTATTCTTGGGAGGGAAGAAACATTGCATGATTTGTGGGGTATCATTTCATGCCAGTCAAACTGAGGGGCTTTTGTTTTCTTCTCTGGTGAGGCGGGAGGGAGTGGCTGCTGGACATGGGGTGTGAGGCCAGTGTCTGCAGCCAGCTAGCCTAGGACTGAGGGTTAGGACTCACTCAGTTCAGGGCTTGTTGCTCTGTGCTCCCCAGACACCCCGAAGGCAGAAGAGGCTTTTCTGTAGGTACCACCATGGCAACGGGACACCACAGCTGCTCATCGCCCCTTTCAAAGAGGAGGATGAGTGGGACAGTCCACACATCGTCAGGTACTACGATGTCATGTCTGATGAGGAAATCGAGAGGATCAAGGAAATTGCAAAACCCAAAGTAGGTGTCTCTGCAGTTCCTTCTTGGGCCACTCACTCCTGGTACCATGGGGCAGTTTAGTTGCTTACCCGGCTGGCCTTTGCTTATGTCTTGCATGAGTCCACTGTCGGGTACTAAGGTACTACAGACTCAATTTGACCTTGAGGGTTCATAGTCCAGTGGGGGAAGAAAATTGAGGGAACCAGTATGGACAGACAAGGGCTGTGATAGAAGGGCACACTGGAAGCAGGGCAAGCCCACAGTGAGAAGTGTCACCTCACCTCACCGTGTTGGGGGCTGGTGTGCGGGCTAGTTTTTAGGAAGTTATGCCTTGGGGCATTGCCAAGGTGGGTTCTGTGGGTCTCCTGATTAGGATTGCAAAGAAGTGATTGACTTGGAGGAGCACGAACATCTCTACAGTATTGAGTCTTCTCATCCAAGAGCACTCTGGGTCTCTCTATTTATTCATATCTTTAAAATTGTTCTTCACCTAAGCCCTGCACTTTTCTTGTTAAATTTATTCCTAGGCAGTGTTTTTTTTTTTTTGTTATTGTAACTTCACAAAAAACTGTTTCTTTCATCATTATGTTTTTACTGGTTACATTATTAAATTAGTTTACTATTATATACTAAACTATTGATTGTAAAAATATATTTCATAGTAATAGCTAATGTTTACTGAGTTGAGAAGTGTGACAGGCCCTGGTTTTTTTTTTTTTTTTTTTTTGGTAAATTTATTTATTTTATTTTATTTTTGGCTGCGTTGGGTCTTCGTTGCTGTGTGCGGGCTTTCTCTAGTTGTGGTGAGCGGGGTCTACTCTTTTGAGGTGCATGGTCTTCTCATTGCAGTGGCTTCTCTTGCTGTGGAGCACGGGCTCTAGGCATGTGGGCTCAGTAGTTGTGGCACACGGGCTCAGTAGTTGTGGCTCACGGGCTCTAGAGCAGAGGCTCAGTAGTTGTGGCACATGGGCTTAGTTGCTCCGCGGCATGTGGGATCTTCCCGGACCAGGGCTCAAACCCGTGTCCCCTGCATTGGCAGGCGGATTCTTAACCACTGCACCACCAGGGAAGTCCTGGCAGGCCCTCTTCTAAGTCCTTAACATATGTTAACTGCTGTGTCTATTTAGAAGGCTCTGTCATCATCTTCATTTTACCTGCAAGGAAACAGACATGGTGCAGATCACAGCTACTTGTTGAACTCACTTATTCTTCATTTGGATTTTAGCTAATTATCTTGGGTTGTCCAGATAGTATTAGCATCTGCAAATAAGAAAAATTTTGTTTTCTCCATCCTAATAGTTATAGTTCTTTTGTTTTTGTTGTCTTCTTGAACTGCCCAGAGCTTCTAGAGCATTTTTACAATAGGAATCTTTGTCTTGTTCCTGAATTTCGTGGAAATTCTTTTGGTATTTCATTGCTAATTATGCAGTTGGCTGTTGGTTTTGTATATATTCACCATGTTGTAAAATTATTCTTCTATTTCTAGTTTATAAAAGATTTTCTCCTTTTTGACATCTTTCAAAGAGAACTACTTTCTGCCATATCCCCATCCTTCTCCTATCACTGGTGATTAGAAGGGAGGATTTAGCTGGAGATCCTCTATTGCTCTGCTCCTAATAGAATTGTAGAGGCCAGGAGCCCCAGCACTCCTGGAGAGATCTAAAATAGGTTCCTATCCTAGGCCCTGGACTGTATCTTGGAACAGCCTTGGCTTGAGATACTAGGACATCTACGGCTCAGAGTCAGTTCTTAGTGTCATTGATGTCGCTGAGGGAGGGTCTAGCCAGTGTGTGTGGGGAATGGGGACCAGAGACACCTCGCCCTCTGCCCCCCAGCTTCCATTCCCTGGACCAGCTCCAGATTCCTCCAGGAAAGAAAGCTGCTTTCTTGGCTGTCAGGTGAGAGAGGCACTGTTGTGCCATAACCTCCTGAGAGAGTTCTCCCTTGTCTCTCCGACCAAAGCACTAAAACATCGCTGTGTGTGTGTGTGCGTTGATGTTGGGTGCATGTGTGCACATGGGTGTGTCTGGGCAGTGTGGGCAGGGAGGAGTGTGTTGGGAAGATTTGTCTTTGAACAGAAGCCATGTGAAGAGCCAAACACGTTGGCTATTACAAGCTGACCTCTCCTTTCCGGAGCCTGTGAGGGACAGATGCTATGCTGGCTTTGAAGTAGGGCCCATGAGCTTAACTTGTCCTGTGGGGAATGCCTGGCAGCTGCCTGTGGGTCTCTGGTCTGCTTTCAAAATAGCCCTGTCTATCCCTGGGAGCAGAGCCCCAGCTGCCCAGAGCCTCCCTGTGGGTGTCAGGCCAGTGCTGCGGCTCACATGTTTGGATGGGGTCTAGCTGCAGCTGCAGTTGTCATCAGGAAAGAACCGTAGATACGATCTCAGGGAAGCTCTCTGCTCTGGGTGCAGTGCCGTCTTACCAGAATGTGCTGCAGCAGCTCGTGTCCAGGTTGGTTGATCTCACCTCCTGGCCAGTCTTCTAGTCCATCCACCCCCTCCATCCCTTCTGCCACCTCTTGCCCTGACCTCTCCCTTACATCCTCACTGGCCTCCTTCTTCCTGCTTTGATGCCTCCTTAGCCAGCCCTCCATGATGTCTCCACAGTGATCCTTCTTACATTCAGATTGTGGTGTCCCTCCCCTGCATAAAGCCTTCCCTGCTTCTCATTGGTCATAGGTTGCATCCAGCCCAACCCCCACTTGCCTCCTCAGCCTATTCTCATCTCTTTGCTCTGAGTTCTAACCCACAGTCATAGTGCCACATCCATTTTCACCTCTGGGCGTCTGCATCTCTGATCTTTCCCTGTTCCTGTAATGTTCTCCCACCTGGCTAACTCCTACTTACCCTTCAGATCTCAGCTAGGTGGTCCCCCCTGTAGGAGACCATTCTTGACCCTGTAGACTGAGCTCCCACAGACATTGAGCTTCCCCTCTCCCAGCACCTACCATGCTGTGCTGTGATTACCCAGCTAGTTTTCTGCCTTCCCCACTTGACTGAGTTGTATGAGGGCAGGGGCCATGTCTTAGTCACCCAGCAGTGCCAGGCACATAGTAAGCACTCATTAGGACAGTCCACAGCCGAAGCACTGGGGGCTGGCTCCAGGCAGCAGGTCCTTCCTGGGAGTATCACTGCACCAGTTTGTGGAGACTGGGGGGATATGAGGTAGGTGAGGTGGGGTGTGTGTGCGTGTGTGTGTATGAGTGAGTATGTGGAGGTGGCTTCCAGGCAGCAGTTTACTTATTGCACCTTGTAGATTCCTTTCCTATTCTATCATCTGACCTTGCAGGCCTCCCAAGGTAGTGAAAACTGTGCCTTCTTTTTTTGTTCCTTGCAGCAGTGGGAGGCCAGCGTGGGCTGGTGCAGTAGGAGAGTGTTTGGGTAGGTTTCTGGGCAGAGAAGGCCGCTGAGGTTCCCAAGGACAGTGTAGTTGACCACGTTGAGAGGAGCATGCAAGATTGAGGCTCAGGGATGGTAACACAGTCTGAGCGTGGTAGGAGCAGCCAGGTGCAGGAAGGTGTGGTGGGTGGGCCTGGTGAGAAAGGGGCTGTCCAGGCAGATGGGCAGATGGACAAAGCAGACTCCGTAGGCATAATTCTGCAGACAGCATGGACCTGGGAGGGAGCAGGGGCAGGCAGCAGCCAAGCAGGGTAGTGGCCAGGGTCTGATAGAGCAGGAATTTGGAGGCCCCAGACCACTGCCCTGGCCTGGCTTGCAGGATCATGGGGCCTTGGCTAGAGCCACTGACTGCAGAGCTCCTTCCCGCACTGGCCTGATTGACAGATCAGGTCCCAGTCTCTCCAAGAAAAAGATACTCAAGGCAAAGAATGATAAGTCTGCCCTTCCTTCCTGCCTTCCAGCTTGCACGAGCCACTGTTCGTGATCCCAAGACAGGTGTTCTCACTGTTGCCAGCTACAGAGTTTCCAAAAGGTTAGCAAAGGTGATGGTGGTGGCGGGGTGGCTGCTCAAGCCCCAACTCCTGGGCCTCCCAGTTCCTATTGAAGGGAGGGTGGCTTGGCTTGTCCTCCTTGCTGGCACCTCCCCTACATGGAGCACTCACCCCGTGCTGCCTGTTAGTGCTGGCCCTGATGCTGGGGAGAGAGTGCAGAACCTCATCGAAACCTGCCTTCCCCACCTTCCTTTCTCTCCCTCTTGTTTTGGCTTAGCTCCTGGCTGGAGGAGGATGATGACCCTGTTGTGGCTCGGGTGAATCTTCGGATGCAGCACATCACAGGCCTAACAGTAAAGACTGCAGAATTGTTGCAGGTATGGCTTGTTTCTGGCAGCCCTGGAGTTGGGAAGGGAGTATTTCTAGCTAGATGTTCTTCCAGGGTGCTCAGGGCCAGACATAGGGAGACTTGCCCAGTAAACTGTAGGACTGTAGGATGCTATGAGTATGGAGTGGCCTCGTGTTGGGAAGCCAGAATTAAGTATGCCCACTGGCATTCAACAATTAGCATTGAACAAATGTCAACTGAATGTCTTTTGTGTGCCCAAGTATCATACTCGGAGCTAGGGATCATTGGTGGGCATGGCAGGCCCATTTATGTCTTCTTGACTACAGAAGCTGAAATCCTGAGTTGTTTCAGGGACACCTCTAAGAGCTATAAATATCTTCATAGGTCATGGTTCTGAGTCATAGTCAAATGCACTTGGAGGTAAAGTGTTCTGTAATACATTGGTAGCATTGAGAGGCCTGGACTGGTTGGCTGGTGAAGGTGGAATGCTCCTTTCTAAGTACCCCCTTGGGACCCTGGCCTCCTGTTTTTTATTTCAGAGGTGATTGTGAAGAAACATGGTAGCACCATGCTGAAAATTTTGGGTAAAGCTGCTACTAATGTGTTGTCTGTTCTGTTGAGTTCAAATCAGTACTGGCCACACTCCCTTCTGAACATCCCAACTTCTGGGTTCTGCTGTAAAATGACGATCTGAGACACTGCCAGAGAAGTTTCAATGGCATTTTTCTTGAGCCCCCTGGATCTGTCTGTTTGGCCAGAGTTCCCGTGTATTTAAGAATATCACACTTTACCTGATCAACCATGGCTCTTCAGTAGAATACTGAACTGAGATCACTTGGAAAAGATTCTCTGAACTTCTGCCTGGACACATACAAGCAAATCAGCACTCATTTCCCCCACCCCATAGCTGTGTCAGCAATCAAAACCAATTTTGAAGGTCATCCTTAATGAATCTATGTGAAGTCCACCAGAGTTTTTAAAAACATGCTGATTATCTTACAGTCCCGTGAAATTTTAATGTAATTTTTTCATTTCAACTCAACTTAGTGTTGAGTTTGTAAGCCTAATTTTTGGGTAAGTTCTGCAGACAAGCACATCAAGAGAGGACTTCTGCCACATCTCCCACTTTCCTCTTACGTGTGAGAACACCACCATTTCAAGAGTGATAGGGGCTCTCCATGCCCTGGGTGCATCCCTGTTGGCGTAGTTGTGATTCATATCTTCCTGGAGCAGCTTTGTTGTTGTTGTTAAGACATCTACCACTGCATATCAGAGCCAGTGTTAGGACTGCTGTGGCCCTTACTGAGGATGATGTTCTTTTTGGTTGCTGATTCTGTACCCTGGACCAAGAGGCTGAAAAGAGTGTACAGGACCTGTGCCCCTGTTGCTCTCCTGGCTGCACCCTCTGAACCCTATCTCACATGCAACCCCAGAAGACAGCAGCTTCGTGCTTGGACTGGCTTCTCTGCCACAACCCTGGCTTCATCTTAACTGATATCTTGTCATGTTGTAACTCAATTGATGAATGGGATCTGAATGCCGCAACTCCAGTGGAGGGGCTTTTATGGTCAGGGCTCTTCTGGAAGAAGACCACAGCTGCCAGGAGGTTGAGACACCATTTTTGTTTGCTTTCATTCTCTAGGAACTGCCTTGGCATTTTCTTTGCCAGTCAGCATTGTTGAAACCTTTGATCCTACATGGTCTGAGGATAGGAACCTGGGTTTCAGTACCTGTCTGTGCCCATTCCACATTCCATGCAGTGTGATACATGCCTAGGCACCAGCAACAGCCTTCTCACCAGGGTCCCTACAGGCTTCTGGAAATGAACTGGTTTTTATGCTATCTATTGACACTCTTTCATCTGTAGTTGATGTGTTTGCTATAGATTATTTGGAAGAAAGGGTAAAAGAGGCTTTCTTTTGAATTGGATGAGGGCCTAAGAGTGGAAGAGATGCTACATTGCCAGAATTCTTGAAGATTGAAGACACTTCCGACTAGATGTGTCAGCCTCACCAAATAAGTGATTTCTAACCATTTTTTCCCCTTCATTCTGACCTCAATATCATAAATACCCACATTTTTCAAAGGACTGATTCTTCTACTTTTGTAACAAATGAATACCTCCTCCCAGGAATCAGTTTTGATTGTTATTAAAGGTATGGGTCTGTGGCCCGGAGTTTTCCCAGATGGTGATTCTGATGGCTGCACATCCGGAAGTTCCCGTGACACTTGTACTATTTGGGGACAGTATTAAAATAGTATAGGTATAATAGCTTTAGCACCATGATCAAATGTGATTCCCAAAACTGTTAAAAGATGAGCCAGCTGTTAACAATACAGCTTCTTTCATTATCCCCAGGTAGTGAAAGTTTAAGCACTCCATCCAACAAGTGGGAGTGTTGGAAAATGCAGTCATACCCTGCTGCTCCAACAACAGGCAGCAACTGAATTTTCCTGAGTGCACTGGCAAATTGATCACAGTCATGTTTACAATTTTCTTCAAGTTCTCGACTATAGTGGATCCAAAGAAAAAGCATTTGTAATGTCACTTCATCAACTGCTCTAGAACTTCCCTGCTTAGATGAACCTCCAGGCTTAGGGTCACCTGCTGACCTCCTTGCACTAGGCCTCCTTGCACTGTTGATAGGATTTGTAGCTATTTTTGGTGTGGGAATCTTTTTTTTTTTTAATTGTTAAAAAAATAAATTTATGTATTTTTAGCCTCGTTGGGTCTTCGTTGCTGGGTGCGGGCTTTTTCTCTAGTTGCTGCGAGCAGGGGCTACTCTTCGTTGCGGTGCACGGGCTTCTCATTGCGGTGGCTTCTCTTGTTGCGGAGCACGGGGTCTAGGCACGCGGGCTCAGTAGTTGTGGCGCGTGGGCTTAGTTGCTCCACGGCATGTGGGATCTTCCCCGACCAGGGCTCAAACCTGTGGCCCCTGCATTGGCAGGCGGATTCTTAACCACTGCACCACCAGGGAAGCCCCTGGTGTGGGAAACTTGAAGGCTAAAGCAGTATATGACAGCATATTTTCTCACTGATTCTGATTCTTCATATCAACATTTTAATTTTTTTGGACACGGAAAAATCATGCTGCCGAAAATCCACATTTCATCACATTTGATAAATACTGTTTTTCACTCCAAGAGGAGGATTTTCTCTCTTGTAAAGCTCACCCTTCCTCTCTCTCCCTCATGTCCATGGGTCGCCATTATTGCCAGTTTTGCAGCATCTTTCACCTGTTAGAATTGCCAAAACGGATATACAAAATCAATTTTCTGAGGACTAATATTTGAACTCCAAAGGTGTGTATGGTTTCATTAAGATACAGTAGCCAAGTGTTCCCAGATGGACATTAGTGGTACCATTTGGTACATCAGCTTTCATGTCAGATTCTGTATTTTGTCATGAACTTCATCTCTCATCTAGCTACTGAAGCTAAAATAACCATTGTGATTTAGGACTTATATTGTGCTGATAAACTGTTCATAAAAGCATTTATGATTTCTAATCCAATTAGTGGCACCTGAGGTGGCTCAGGCCCTATTCCAGGTCCAGGCTTCCACTGGGGGCACTGAGGTAGAGCAGCAGTTTTGGTCCCCCTGCAGCCAGCCGCCCATTCCCTGCTGCTTCACTTGGATGCAGAATTACTCTGTGCAGTGTACCACTGTGAGATGGAGTGGGATTTGTTTGTCCTATTCAGACTGACCAAGAAGAGCTTCTGGGGCATGGTGACAGAGGTGGCAGGAGCACTGCCAGGCACTGAGTAGCTTCCAAACTAGCATTAAAAAAACCCCCAATCCTGAGTTTGTTGTTGGCATTCTTCTGGATTACCATCTCATTATCTTCCAAATAATCAGGGCCCAGGCCAGGGCCTGCCTCAAGGAGGGCTCCCTCTGCTGCTGCCCTGAAGGGCTGGAGCTTCTCCACAGTGGTCATCTGCAGCTTGCCCATCTTTTCCTTTTTGGGAAACCACATTTGTGCTGCACCCTTCCTCTTGGACACAGCTGTAGACCTGTTTGCAGCATTTGTTCTGCCTGTACTGGCAGGGGATAGTTACCCTCCTTAGAGAGGTTGCTCTTGGGGATCTGGTTGTTACCTAGGGAGATGGGCTGCTTCAGGGTGGTTCATGCTGCTAACAGTCCAATGCTGTTATTTCCCACCAGGTTGCTAATTATGGAATGGGAGGACAGTACGAGCCACACTTTGACTTCTCTAGGGTAAGGCCCAAATCACAGGTGCTTTCAAGGGCTCTGCTGTAGCTGGTTTGAGAAGGCTGGAGCTTTTAGGAGCACTGTGGCCTTCACATCAGGCCCCCCTGCCTCACCAGGGCCCCCTCTTTGTTGCTGGAGAAGCCCAAGTCCAGAGCCAAGTGCATCCCAGCTGTTTCCCCTGTGAGGTCAGGAGTAGTCCCCCTGGCCCAAGCCTGCCATTCTTTGCCCTGACTCTAAAGCAGAGGACCTCACTAGGTCTCTGTGAAAGCTGTTCCTGCCCCCTCTCCCCCATGCCTGGCCAGGGTTTCCTTTGCAGCCTTGGCCCCTGGTCCAGGCCAATATATGGAACACATACTTAGTACCTTCCCTTGACCTTTTTGGCCCCAGTCCTGTGGGTGGTGGGTGAAGTCAGTTGCAAACTCGGGTGAAAGTTGTTGTCTATTGCAGCGACCTTTTGACAGCGGCCTCAAAACGGAGGGAAATAGGTTAGCGACGTTTCTTAACTATGTAAGTATTGGGTACAGGCCCACTGTTTACTCTCACTTAATTTTATAGAAGGATGAGCAAGATGCTTTCAAGCGTTTAGGGACGGGGAATCGTGTGGCCACGTTCTTAAACTACGTGAGTATGACGCGTGCAGTGTGTGGGCCTTAAGGGGAGCCTGGGTCCAGAGTGCTCTCTTATATCCACTCCTGTCAGAGCTGATACCCCCAGCTGTTGCTTGATGGCTGGGCCCTTCTGGCCCTCAGCGCCCTTCTTGGCTGGAGTAGAGAGTTGCCCTTTGTTGCCATTTGTGTGCTTCCCCCAACCCCTGTGACATTTACATCCCTGGCTCCTATTAGATGGCCCACAGCTAGTCTGGACTTTTGGGATGGGTGTCCTGGAGGGTTCCCTGCTTGGCAGCAGAGTGAGGAGGTAGCTTGGAAGTGCTCTTAGATGAAGCTGCCTTCGTTTCCCCAGAGCTCAGTGGCCTGCCTGCCACCTGCTACCTGTACTCCAGCCACAGGCTGTTGGGTTTACCTCTCACACAAGGAACAGTTTCCTCTCCCCTCTGCTGAGACAGCCAGGTCTAGAGAGGCATAGAAGCTGTCAAGTAACTTAGAGACAGAAGCCTGTGTCCACTTTTCCCTTTGGTGTCTTGTTTAAGTTTTTATCATGTGGTTATTATGTGCTGGGGACTGCCGTGAACATGCTGGTGAGCAGGACATTTGTGGTCTCTCTTAGGCTTACGGTCCTAATATGAAAGACTTACTTTTAAACATAGGAGAGGTAATTGTTTAGTTACCATAGTGATAAGTGCTTTGAAGAAGTAGTGCAGAGTTGGGGTTCAGAGAAGGCCTACCTTGGGAAGTAACTTGTCGGTTGAGACTTGAAGATTGAGTGGAAATTAGTTGGTGGAACATGATTTCTGGTAGAGAAGAGAATGTGTGGAGACCTGGAAGAGGGAAGGAGATTGGGATGTTGGAAAAAGAGAAAAAGGGTTGTGGGTCTCAGAGATAGTGCATTAATCTGGGGTGGCTAGAGGGAGAGGCTGGTGAGACTGCCAGGACCTTCAGCCCACTCTGGTGGGAAGCCATCAGGGGTTTTCATCTTATTCATTTACCACATGTCTGTTGGGTGCCTTTCAGTCTGTCTGGTATGTGTCCTGTGGAAATATTTTAGCTCCACGTTTGATTACATTACAGGCAAAAAACTTGAAGTAAGAGACAGATGAGAAAGAAGTGGCGCTTTGGGCATGAGCTGAGGCACGCTCTGTGGGCATGAGTGCAGCCTTGCTACTGTGGATATTGTGTTCCATTTAGTTTGAGGTTTTACTGTGGGAGAAAGCAGGCCTTCTGGAGACACAGTGCCCTAGCTGGCCCTGGGGACGGTAGCTGTTCTGGGAAGGTGAGGGTCTGACTAGAGCTGCACGTTACTCAAGCCAGAGAAACAGAATCCATAGTTGGGACCACAGATGGTGTTAGAAGCTGCAGGGAGCTCCTGGTCAGGGAAGCTCACAGAGCACAGTGGCTTAGGCAGGCCAGCCTGGATGAGGATAAAGGGGGTGGGGTCAGTCAGGCATTTTCCCAGTACAGACTCAGATTTTTCCCACCTGACAGCCAAGATATGGGTATCCTGCAGGCCTACATCTCTCCATGGCATGGAGACTGTCCTGATGAACCACACAGATTAAACAGGGTTTAGGGAGGGGCAGGGTGTGGGAAGAGCCTTTCTTGGCCAAAGGGCTGGTGGTGGAGTTGTTCATGCTCAGAGGAGGGTGATCTGCATACTTTGTCATGTCCTTGGTGGCTCAGTTGCTCTGAGAGCATTGAGTAGAAGGGCCAAGCTCTATGCCTTGTATTCCCAGATGAGCGATGTGGAAGCTGGTGGTGCCACTGTCTTTCCTGATCTGGGGGCTGCACTTTGGCCTAAGAAGGTAAGTTCTGGTTCTTGTGGGTCAAAAGTTGAAGTGCAGAACTCAGACCTCATCCATGTCTCCTAGTCCCATTCTCTGGCCTGCTTGAATATCACTTTGAGGGGCCTTAGCCCCTTCCTGCCTGAACCCTGACCTGTGGTCTCAGCTTCCATCTGGCGAGATGGGATGGAGAGGGAAGTCCCTTCAGGGCCAGGTGGGATTCCAAACATCCACGCTACCGTGAAGGGTAGGTGCTTTCTGGGGAGCTTCTCTGTACTGGAGTGCCAAAGCCCTGTGCCCCTGGACATGGGAAAGTGAGGGTGTTTCTACTCAGGGAGGGCTCTTTGGTACTCGGGGTCAGATCCTTGAGCCCAATATCTAAGGGTGTTGTATGACAGGGCTTCTCTTTCCAGGGTACGGCTGTATTCTGGTACAACCTCCTGCGGAGCGGGGAAGGTGACTACCGAACGAGACATGCTGCCTGCCCCGTGCTTGTGGGCTGCAAGTGGGGTGAGTGGCTTAAGGTGTGGTGTTGGCCTCTGGGCTCTAGTGGTCAGCCTGAGACTCTGAGCTGGGAGACAGTTGCTGCTAAATTTTCACAAAGCCAAGACTGTCTCACTTTTTGAGATTTGGTTTTTTGTTTTTGTTTTTTCTTGCTAACAGGTAGTCCCACCCAGCCATGTTGCTGTCCACTCAGCTAGTTATGTGCCAAGACAGCTGGTTGGGAACACTCCCAGAGATGCGTAGAGAGCTAAGGAAGCCCCAAGGAAGAATAGCTACATAAGCTTCGTAGGTCCAGGAGGGCTCCCCAGAAAAGTGGACTCTGGCAAGGGTTCAGAGGTTGCAGTGGGGGAGAACTGAAAACAGAGAGGAGAGAGTGTCCCAGGCAAGCAAAACCCACGTGGAACAAGGCACAGGCTAAAACGAGCATCAAGGTGTGGGGGCTGGCTGCCTTTGTCTCTTGTGCAAGGGGAGGCCCGTGGCACAGGGGCCAAGAGATGAGGCTCAAGTCTGGGACCAAACTGTGGAGGCTGAAGTTGAGCTTTATTCTGGAAGCAGCTGTGGTGAGTCATAGAGAGGCTTGAAGCAGGATGTGACAGGAAGTGATCACAAAGAGATAAGTTTATAGCCCTCTTGGAGAGTTATGGGGATAAAGAGTGATAGGTTCAGAGAAAATTAAGCAAATGAAAAAGAAAATGAGAAAAGAAAAAGTTGTACAAGAAAGCAAATATAAGTACAGTTGACCCTTGAACAAAGCAGGGGAGGAGCTTGAAGATGGCAGAAGAGGGCTTCCATGGTGACGCAGTGGTTAAGAATCTGCCTGCCAATGCAGGGAACACGGGTTCGGGCCCTGGTCCGGGAAGATCCCACATGCCGCGGAGCACCTAAGCCCGTGCGCCACGACTACTGAGCTTGCGCTCTAGAGCCCGTGAGCCACAACTATAGAAGCCCATGCGCTTAGAGCCTGTGCTCTGCAACAAGAGAAGCCACCGCAATGAGAAACCCACACACTGCAACGAAGAGGAGCCCCTGCTCGCCGCAAGTAGAGAAAAGCCCGTGCGGAGCAATGAAGACCCAACGCAGCCAGAAAAAAGAAAAAAAGATGGCGGAAGAGTAAGATGTGGAGATCACCTTCCTCCCCACAAATACATCAGAAATACATCTACATGTGGAACAACCCCTATAGAACACCTACTGAACGCTGGCAGAAGAACTCAGACCTCCCAAAAGGCAAGAAACTCCCCACATACCTGGGTAGGGCAAAAGAAAAAAGAAAAAACAGAGACAAAACAAGAGAGATGGGACCTGCACTAGTGGGAGGGAGCTGTGAAGGAGGAAAGGTTTCCACACAGTAGGAAGCCCCTTCATGGGTGGTGGAGGGGGGAAGCTTCAGAGCCACGGAGGAGAGTGCAGCAACAGGGGTGCAGAGGGCAAAGCAGAGGGATTCCTGCACAGAGGATTGATGCCAGCCAGCACTCAACAGCCCGAGAGGCGTGTCTGCTCACCCACCAGGGGGTGGGGGTGTGGGACCTGGGAGCTGAGGCTCGGGCTTCAGGGGTCAGACCCCAGGGAGAGGACTGGGGTTGGCTACGTGAACACAGCCTGAAGGGGGTTAGTGTGCCACAGCTAGCCGGGAGGGAGCCCGGGAAAAGGTCTGGAGGTGCCGAAGAGGCAAGAGACTTTTTCTTGCCCCTTTGTTTCGCAGTGCGCAAGGAGAGGGGATTAAGAGCACTGCTTAAAAGAGCTCCAGAGACGGACGTGAGCAGTGGCTATCAGTGCGGACCCCAGAGATGGGCATGAGACACTAAGCCTGCTGCTTCAGCCACCAAGAAGCCTGTGTGCAAGCACAGGTCACTATCCACACCTCCCTTCCTGGGAGCCTGTGCAGCACACCACTGCCAGGGTCCCATGATCCAGGGACAGCATCCCTGGGAGAACACACGGCGTGCCTCATGCTGGTGCAACGTCATGCTGGCATCCGCCACCGCAGGCTTGCCCAGCATTCTGTACCCCTCCCTCCCCCCCCGGCCTGGGTGAGCCAGAGCGCCCTAATCAGCTGATACTTTAATCCCATCCTTTCTGAGTGGGGAACAGATGGCCTCAGGCCACCTACACGCAAAGGCAGCGCCCAATCCAAAGCTGAACCCCAGGAGCTGTGTGAACAATGAAGAGAAAGGGAAATCTCTCCCAGCAGCCTCAGGAGCAGTGGATTAAATCTCCACAATCAACTTGATGTACCCTGCATCTATGGAATACCTGAATAGACAACAAATCATCCCAAATTGAGGCAGTGGACTTTGGGAGCAACTATATATTTTTCCTTTTTCTCTTTTTCTGAGTGTGTACGTGTATGCTTCTGTGTGTGATTTTGTCTGTATAGCTTTGCTTTTACCATTTGTCCTAGGGTTCTGGTTTTTTTTTTCTTTTTAGTATAGATTTTAGCGCTTGTTATCATTGGTGGATTCGTTTTTTGGTTTGGTTGCTCTCTTTTTTATTATTAATTTAAAAAAATTTTAATACCTATTTTTTATTTTAATAACTTTATTTTATTATTATTATTATTTCCTTTCTTTTTTTCTCCCCTTTTTTCTGAGCCATGTGGATGACAGGGTCTTCGTGCTCTGGCTGGGTGTCAGGCCTGAGCCTCTGAGGTGGGAGAGCCGAGTTCAGGACATTGGTCCATCAGAGACCTCCCAGCTCCATGTAATATCAAACGGTGAAAATCTCCTAGAAATCTCCATCTCAACGCCAAGACCCAGCTCCACACAACGACCAGCAAGCTGCAGTGCTGGACACCCTATGCAAAACAGCCAGGAAGACAGGAACACAACCCCACCCATTAGCAGAGACGCTGCCTAAAATCATAATAAGGTCACAGACACCGCAAAACACACCACCAGATGCGGACCTGCCCACCAGAAAGACAAGATCCAGCCTCATCCACCAGAACACAGGCACTAGTCCCCTCCACCAGGAAGCCTACACAGCCCACTGAACCTACCTTAGCCACTGGGGACAAACACCAAAAACAATGGGAACTACGAACCTGCAGCCTGAGGAAAGGAGACCCTAAACACAGTAAGTTAAGCAAAATGAGAAGACAGAGAAACACACAGCAGATGAAGGAGCAAGGTAAAAACCCACCAGACCAAACAAATGAAGAGGAAATTGGCAGTCTACCTGCAAAAGAATTCAGACTAATGATAGTAAAGATGACCCAAAATCTTGGAAGTAGAATGGAGAAAATACAAGAAACGTTTAACAAGGACCTAGAAGAACTAAAGAGTAAACAAATGATGAACAACACAATAAATGAAATTTAAAACTCTCTAGAAGGAACCAATAGCAGAATAACTGAGGCAGAAGAATGGATAAGTGACCTGGAAGATAAAATAGTGGAAATAACTACTGCAGAAGCAGAATAAAAAAAAAGAATGAAAACAATTGAGGACAGTCTCAGAGACCTCTGATACATCTGGGACAACATTAAATGCACCAACATTCAAATTATAGGGGTCCCAGAAGAACAAGAGAAAAAGAAAGGGACTGAGAAAATATCTGAAGAGATTATAGTTGAAAAACTTCCCTAATATGGGAAAGGAAATAGTTAATCAAGTCCAGGAAGCACAGAGAGTCCCATACAGGATAAATCCAAGGAGAAACACGTTAAGACACATATTAATCAAACCGTCAAAAATTAAATACAGGGCTTCCCCGGTGGCGCAGTGGACATGGGTTCGTGCCCCGGTCCAGGAAGCTCCCACATGCTGCGGAGCGGCTGGGCCCGTGAGCCATGGCCGCTGAGCCTGCGCGTCTGGAGCCTGTGCTCCGCAGCTGGAGAGGGCACAACAGTGAGAGGCCTGCATACTGAAAAAAAAAAAAATTGCAAAGAAAACATTAAAAGCAGCAAGGGAAAAATAACATACAAGGGAATCCCCATAAGGTTAACAGCTGATATTTCAGCAGAAACTCTGCAAGCCAGAAGGGAGTGGCGGGACATATTTAAAGTGATGAAAGGGAAAAACCTACAACCAAGATTACCCAGCAAGGATCTCATCATATTTGATGGAGAAATTAAAACCTTTACAGACAAGCAAAAGCTAAGAGAATTCAGCACCACCAAACCAGCTCTACAACAAATGCTAAAGGAACTTCTCTAGGCAAGAAACACAAGAGAAGGAAAAGACCTACAATAACAAACCCAAAACAATTAAGAAAATGGGAATAGGAACATACATATCGATAATTACCATAAATGTAAATGGGTTAAATGCCCCAACCAAAAGACATAGACTGGCTGAATAGATACAAAGACAAGACCCATATATCTGCTGTCTACAAGAGACCCACTTCAGACCTAGGGACACATACAGACTGAAAGTGAGGGGATGGAAAAAGATATTCCATGCAAATGGAAATCAAAAGAAAGCTGGAGTAGCAATACTCATATCAGACAAAATAGACTTTAAAACAAGGAGACAAAGAAGGACACTACATAATGATCGAGGGATCAATCCAAGAAGAAGATATAACAATTGTAAATATTTATGCCCCCAACATAGGAGCACCTCAATAAATAAGGCAAATACTAACAGCCATAAAAGGGGAAATCGACAGTAACACAATCATAGTAGGGGACTTTAACAACCCACTTTCACCAATGAACAGATCATCCAAAATGAAAATAAATAAGGAAACACAAGCTTTAAATGATACATTAAACGAGATGGACTTAATTGATATTTATAGGACCTTCCATCCAAAAACAACAGAATACACTTTCTTCTCAAGTGCTCATGGAACATTCTACAGTATAGATCATATCTTGGGTCACAAATCAAGCTTTGGTAAATTTAAGAAAATTGAAATCGTATCAAGTATCTTTTCCGACCACCACACTCTGAGACTAGATATCATTTACAGGAAAAAATCTGTCAAAATTACAAACACATGGAGGCTGAACAGTACACTACTTAATAACCAAGAGATCACTGAAGAGATCAAAGGGGAAATCAAAAATTACCTAGAAACAAATGACAATGAAAACATGACGACCCAAAACCTGTAGGATGCAGCAAAAGCAGTTCTAAGAGGGAAGTTTATAGCAATACAATCCTACCTTAAGAAATAGGAAACAGCTCAAATAAACAACCTAACCTTACACCTAAAGCAAGTAGAGAAAGAAGAACAAAACCCCCCCAAAGTTAGCATAAGGAAAGAAATCATAAAGATCAGATCAGAAATAAATGAAAAAGAAATGAAGGAAACGATAGCAAAGATCAATAAAACTAAAAGCTGGTTCTTTGAGAAGATAAACAAAATTGATAAACCATTAGCCAGACTCATCCAGAAAAAAAGGAAGAAGATTCAAATCAATAGAAATTAAAAAGGAGAAGTAACAACTGATACTGCAGAAATACAAAGTATCATGAGAGATTACTACAAGCAACTCTATGCCAATAAAATGGACAACCTTGAAGAAATGGACAAATTCTTAGAAATGCACAACCTTCCGAGACTGAACCAGGAAGAAATATAAAGACTGATCACAAGCAGTGAAATTGAGATTGTGATTGAAAATCTTCCAACAAACAAAAGCCCAGGACCAGATGGCTTCAAAGGCGAATTCTCTCAAACATTTAAAGAAGAACTAACACCTATCCTTCTCAAACTCTTCCAAAATATAGCAGAGGGAGGAACACTCCCAAACTCATTCTGCGAGGCCACCATCACCCTGATACCAAAACCAAAGATGTCACAAAGAAAACTACAGGCTAATATCACTGATGAACATAGATGAAAAAATCCTCTACAAAATACTAGCAAACAGAATCCAACAGCAGATTAAAAGGATCATACACAATGATCAAGTGGGGTTTATCCCAAGAATGTAAGGATTCTTCAGTATACATGAATCAATCAATGGGATACACCATATTAACAAATTGAAGAATAAAAACCATATGAACATCTCAATAGATGCAGAAAAAGCTTTTGACAAAATTCAACTCAAATTTATGATAAAAACCCTCCAGAAAGTAGGCATAGAGGGAGCTTACCTCAAATAATAGAGGCCATATATGACAAACCCACAGCCAACATTGTCCTCAGTGTTGAAAAACTGAAAGCATTTCCACTAAGATCAGGAACAATACAAGGCTGCCCACACTCACCACTATTATTCAAAATTGTTGTGGAGTTTTAGCCACAGCAATCAGAGAAAAAAAAGAAGTAAAAGGAATCCAAATCGGAAAAGAAGAAGTAAAGCTGTCACTGTTTGCAGATGACTTGATACTATACATAGAGAATCCTAAAGATGCTACCAGAAAACTACTAGAGGTAATCAATGAATTTGGTAAAGTAGCAGGATACAAAATTAATGCACAGAATCTCTTGCATTCCTATATATTCTTATATTCCTATAATGATGAAAAATCTGAAAGTGAAATTAAGGAAACACTCCCACTTACCATTGCAACAAAAAGAATAAAATACCTAGAAATAAACCTACCTAAGGAGACAAAAGACCTGTATGCAGAAAACTATAAGATACTGATGAAAGAAGTTAAAGATGATACCAACAGATGGAGAGATATACCATGTTCTTGGATTGGAAGAATGAACATTGTGAAAATGACTATACTACCCAAAGCAATCTACAGATTCAATGCAATCCCTGTCAAACTGCCACTGGCATTTTTCACAGAGCTAGAACAAAAAATTTCACAATTTGTATGGAAACACAAAAGACCCCAAATAGCCCAAGCAATCTTGAGAAAGAAAAACGGAGCTGGAGGAATCAGGCTGTTGGACTTCAGACTATACTACCAAGCTACAGTAATCAAGACATTATGGTACTGGCACAAAAACAGAAATATAGATCAATGGAACAGGATAGAAATCCCCGAAATAAATCCACGCACATATGGTCACCTTATTTTTGATAAAGGAGGCAAGAATATACAACAGATTAAAGACAGCCTCTTCAATAAGTGGTGCTGGGAAATCTGGACAGGTACATGTAAATGTATGAGATTGGAACACTCCCTAACACCATACACAAAAATAAGCTCAAAATGGATTAAAGACCTAAATGTAAGGCCAGAAACTATCAAACTCTTAGAGGAAAACAGGCAGAACATTCTATGACATAAATCACAGCAAGATCCTTTTTGGCCCACCTCCTAGAGAAATGGAAATAAAAACAAAAATAAATGAGACCTAATGAAACTTAAAAGCTTTTGCACAGCAAAGGAAACCATAAACAAGATGAAAACACAACCTTCAGCATGGGAGAAAATATTTGCAAATGAAGCAACTGACAAAGGATTAATCTCCAAAATTTACAAGCAGTGCATGCAGCTCAATATCTAAAGAAACGGACAACCCAATCCAAAAATGGGCAGAAGATCTATATAGACATTTCTCCAAAGAAGATACACAGATTGCCAACAAACATATAAAAGAATGCTCAACTTCATTTATCATTAGAGAAATGAAAATCAGAACTACAATGAGATATCATCTCACACCAGTCAGAATGGCCATCACAAAAAATCTACAAACAATAAATGCTGGAGAAAAGGGAACCCTCCTGCACTGTTAGTGGGAATGTAAATTGATACAGCCACTATGGAGAACAGTGTGGAGGTTCCTTAAAAAACTAAAAATAGAACTACCATACGACCCAGCAATCCCACTACTGGGCATATACCCGAGAAAGCTATAATTCAAAAAGAGTCATGTTAACACAATGTTCATTGCAGCTTTATTTACAATAGCCAGGACATGGAAGCAACCTCAGTGTCCATTGATGAATGGATAAAGAAAATGTGGCACATATATACAATGGAGTATTAGTCTGCCAGAAAAGGAAACGAAATTGAGTTACTTGTAGTGAGGTGGATGGACCTAGAGTCTGTCATACAGAGTGAAGTAAATCAGAAAGAGAAAAACAAGTAATGTATGCTAACACATATATATGGAATTTAAAAAAAAGAAAAAAGGTCATGAGGAACCTAGGGGCAGGATGGGAATAAAGACTCAGACCTACTGGAGAATGGACTTGAGACCATGGAGAGGGGGAATGGTAAGCTGGGACAAAGTGAGAGAGTGGCATGGATATATACACACTACCATATGTAAAACTGATAGCTGGTAGGAAGCAGCCACATTGCACAGGGAGATCAGCTCAGTGCTTTGTGACCACCTAGGGGGTGGGATAGGGAGGGAGACACAAGAGGGAAGAGGTATGGGGATATACATATATGTATAGCTGATTCACTTTGGTATAAAGCAGAAACTAACACACCATTGTAAAGCAGTTATACTCCAATAAAGATGTTGAAAAAACCCCCCAAAAAACAAAGCAGGGGTTAGGGGTGCTGACCCTCTGCATAGCTGAAAATCCGTGTCTCTTTTTTTTTTTTTTTTTGGCGGTACGCGGTACTCTCACTGTTGTGGCCTCTCCAGTTGCGGAGCACAGGCTCCGGACGCGCAGGCTCAGCGGCCATGGCTCATAGACCTAGCCGCTCCGCGGCATGTGGGATCTTCCCGGACCGGGGCCGGAGCCCATGTCCCCTGCATCGGCAGGCGGACTCTCAACGACTGCGCCACCAGGGAAGCCCCCGTGTCTCATTTATAGTTGGCCCTCCATATGCACGGTTCCTCCATATCCAAGGTTCTGCATTTTCAAATTCAGCCAATTGCGGGTCATGTAGTACTGTAGTATTTACTAATGAAAAAAATCCGCATATAAGTGGACTCGCTCAGTTCGAACGTGTTGTTCAAGGGTGAGCTGTATCATCTATTTGGTAGCTCAAGTGTGAGTAATATTTACATGACATAATAATGTAAATACTGAATATTAAGTTAACTAGAACTTGTGATTTAACTATATTGGGGGATGGGAGGGGGATCTATGTATTTTAAGAGTGGTGTAAAAAATTCCAAATCTCCATATTCTATGGTAGACTGTCAACATATAAGATCTAAAGTTGGAAGTCAAGAAATAACATTATGTTTTAGAAAAATGAGGATAAATATCAGAAGAAACAAGAGTTGAATGTTAGAGGAAGTGGGGATTGGTGGTGGGAAGGAGTAGGTAGGAGATTGCTATTTATCATTATAAGCCTTGTAGAACAATTTGAGTTTTTCAACTAAGTTCATGTATTACTTACAAAAATTAGTTATTATTAATTGTATTTTAAAAGTACTATGACTTCATTAGTACATTAAAAGCAATTTGTTTTTTCATTCATTATGAAAGAGTCTATATTGAGAAGTGAAATTGTGGTTTGTGAACATGTAAGACACAAGTTTAGGTGATAGTGCTAGCATCAGCTCTGCTTCTCTGCTACCCACAGAACACAAGATTGATCTGCCGGCCCAGAGCTCCTGAGGTTGACATCCAGGCCCTCCACAATCCTGACAGACTTCCTCGTCTCTTACCTTTGAGTTCCCACCCACCCCATCCCAGTAATATCAAACTTGTTGGGGTCTTTGACATATACCAGTGTGGATCATGCCTTGATGTCTTTCTCATCCTGTTCCCACTTCCTAGACCCCCTTGGTATAGGAACCACCTATTCTGTCCATCTTCTTCCCTGGATAACTCCTATTCAGGGAGTCCCAGCCCTGGGGTTTCCTCTTCCCCCACATGGTTAGATGCCCTTTGGCTCTGTTTCCATAGCAACCTACACACATGTATCGTGTGTCACTGACAGAGTTTTGTACGATTATCTCTCTTTCTCACCAGCTCCTAAGTAACTTGATGCCCGAAACCAAGTCTTAGTCATGTCTGATTCCCAGGCCCAGTGTAGGAGTCATCAAGAAGGAATCATTAATTTTGGCTGCTGAACCAACAGGATTGTAACGTACTTTCTATCTGTTCACAGTCTCCAATAAGTGGTTCCATGAACGAGGACAGGAGTTCTTGAGGCCATGTGGATCAACAGAAGTTGACTGACATCCTTTTCTGCCCTTCACCTCCCTGGCCCCACAGCCCATGTTGTCTTCAAGTTCAACGTGACAGACCCCCTCTACTTTCCAGCCTTTGTCAGGCGGCTCTTTGGAAGCGTGAATGTTTGTCTGGAGCAGAGATGGTCCTGGGGAAGGTCCTGGGTGACTTGGGTGACCTGGGTCCCAGCCTCACCTGTCAGCTATCTCTGGTCGCAAGGGTAGGGTTGGAGCAGAGTCAGGTGGTCTAGTACCTAGCAAGGTGCTTTTGTACCTCAGGTGCTTTAGGTGTGAGATGTTTCAGTGAACCAAAGTTCTGATACCTTGTTTACGTGCTTGTTTTTATGGAATTTCTATTAATGTGGCTTTAACCAAAAAATAAAATGTCCCTGCCAGAAGCCTTAAAGAGCCTTATTTGGAGTATTTTTTTAAGACGGGGAGCTTTTACCAAGTTCACCATTTCCTATGCATCTTCTCTGTACAGGCAGAATCTAGGTAATGAATACTTGAGTGGCAAACCTGAAGTTAGGTTCTAGACCAGGTTTCAACACTTATTTTTTCTCTAAGCTTCAGTGTCCTTTCTGCAAAGTAAGGGAGACAGTCCCTCCTTGCATCTCAGAGAACATAGAGATCATGTATGTCCATGATTGTGATGCTGTTATAATTTGAAATTTCTAACTTTAAAAATTTGAGATATACACACAATTGTTTGTGATACATAGACGTACAGTTTAAAGAATATGCAGGTGAGCACGAGCACCCATGTCACCATCACCTGGGTTAGAGAAGAGATTATTTTCAAATTTACACCTCAGGACCTGCTGTGAGTCCCTCCATGATCACATTTCTGACCTTGCCCCCATACCTCAGTGGTAACCATTGTCTAGTGATTTGTGGTAGTCATGCTTTTGCTTTTCTTTGTAGTTTTACTATATGTGTCTATATCCCTAAATAAATAGTAATAAAAAATAAAAAATAATTTTATTTTAGATAAAATTTATTTTAAAATAAAAATTTTATTACTAAATAAATAGTAATAAAAAATAAATAAAAAATTTGTTTTCCCTTATTTTGAACTTTCTGTAATGGAATCAGTATATTTTGGGGGGTGTTTGGCTTCGTTTATTTTACAGTTGTTTCTAGGGTTCATTCATGTTACTGTGCAGCTGTAGTTTATGTTAACTCGTGTAGTTCAGTTCTGTTAGTGTATTTGGTAGGACAGCACCATATTATAGCTGATATACTGTTGATAGACATTTGAGTTGGTTTCAGTCTTTTATAATATGAATAAGGCTGCCATTGCATTTTATATGTGATTTCTGGTGCAAATAAACACATTTCTGTAGAATGTATTTCTAGAAGTGAAAATTCTGAGTCTAAGTAGGTGTGTCTTCAACTTTACCATATAATGTATTCCAGAGTGGTTATGCACATTGTCACCAGGAGTAAATAAGAGTTCTTATTATCCCAGCCTTCTCCAATATCTGGTATTATCATACTTGTGCATTTTAGCTAGCTTGTTATGTGTATAGTGTTATCTATTTTAACATGATTATTGACATTGAACACCTTTTTGTATGTTTATTAGTCTTTAGGTTTCATCTTTGTCTATTAAAGTCTTTTTCTTACTAATTCACAGGAATTTTTAATAGGGACACAGGCTCTTTGTTGGTTACATGTTTTGCAAATATCTTTTTTCTAGTTTGTCTTTTCACTCCTAGTTCTGTCTTTTGATGAACAAAAGTTCTTAATTTCTATGTCAAATTTATCAAGCTTTTTCTTTTTGATTTATGGTTTTTATGTCTTGTTTAAGAAATTCTTCTGTATCCCAAGATTATGAAGATATTTCTTATATTCTTTTTTTTTTCGCGGTATGCGGGCCTCTCACTGTTGTGGCCTCTCCCGTTGCGGAGCACAGGCTCCGGACGCACAGGCTCAGCGGCCATGGCTCATAGACCTAGCCGCTCCGCGGCCTGTGGGATCTTCCTGGACTGGGGCACGAACCAGTGTCCCCTGCATCGGCAGGCGGACTCTCAACTGCTGCACCACCAGGGAAGCCCTCTTATATTCTTTTCTAAAATCATTATAGTCATATCTTTTACATTTGTATCTTTAATATACCTAGGTTTTATTTTTGTATATGAGGTGCAAGGGTCTACCTAAAAAGATTCTTTTTACATATTTTATTAGGCTAGGCTAGGCTAATGCTAGAGTAATAAAATAATCCCGATATATCAGTGGCTTAATGTATAAAACTCTCATGCAAAAAATCACTGGCTCTAGGGCAACTGTTACCTATCTTCTGCCATGCAATCTCCCTCTAGTGCCTTCCACCATCAGAACCTAACAGGAAGCCAGCTAGTAAGGGAATCTGAGAAATACAGAGAGTTGCAACTCCAGTATAACAGCAGAGTATAGAAAAATGAGTTTAGAGCTGAGAAACAACAAAAATTACTGGCAAGCTAGGTGGGTTTGTTTGTTTGTTTTTGGTCCTGTTTGAGATGCTTTGGGCTTTTTGAATCTGTGCAGTAGTATCTTTAATCAGTTTGGGATAATTATTCAATCCTTTTCTCTTTCAATGTTTTCTGCATTCCTTCTGGAACTCTGGTTAAATGTAAATTAGAGTATATTGTACTATTCTTATCTCTTAAGCTGTCTTTCATATTTTTAATATCTATGCTATGTTTTTGGGTAATTTTTACAACTGTCTTCTTATATACTAATCCATTTCTATTAAATATATCTAGGAGTTTTTTTTTAACCACTTTAAAGATGTAATTCCATTCTTTTCTGTCTATACTATTTCTGTTGAAAATTCAGCGATCTTGTCATTTTGTTGCTCTTTTGAAAGTAATTTCCCCCCCCCCCCCCCTCCCTACTATCTGAATTTTAAAATTTTTCTTTGTTTTGGTTTTCACTAGTTTTACTATGATGTACCTAGTGTGAGTTTCTCTTTTTATTTTCTGGCCTGGCATTTACAGAGCTTCTGGAATTTGTGGGTTGATGTCTTTGATCAGTTTTGAAAGTTTCTCAGACATTATTCAAATATTGTTTCTGTCTCATTTTCTGTCTCTCCTCTCTTTCTGGGGTCCCAGTAATCTGGATTTTCATTGTGTTTCATTATGTCTCCTTTTCTGTATCTTCCATTCTTTTTCCCCCTTGCGCTTCAGACTAGATATTTTCTATTAATCTGTCTTCTAATTCATTCATCTATTTTTCAGTTCTAGAATGTCTTTTCAGTTTTTTTTAATAGATTCTAATTCTCTGGGGAATTTACCTTTTGTTTTCTCCATGTTTTTCTTTAACTAATGAATCAGTTATTTTAAAGTTCTTGTCTGAACTCCATGATTTAGATTTTCTATGTATCTCATTCTATTGTCTTTTTTTCCTGTGGTTTCTGGTCATTTGGTCCATTCTGTTGGTATGCCTGATAATTTTTGATTGAATGCTGGGCACTGTGTATGACAAATTATAGAGGCTCTGGATGGTGATAACCTCCTACACCACTCTCCTACTAGGCAGAGTGAGGACTGATCACCTCAATCCAGTCAGGGCCTGGGCTGACTTAATTAAAGCTGGGTTGCAGTTTTCTTCAGACACTACCTCTGGGTTACCCTTGTTATCCCCTGTCAGGGAGGAGAAAATTTCCCCTTCTTCTCCTCTTGAGTTCTTGTGGCTGGTATAATAATAAAATTGATATAAGACAGATTAACAGGAGAAAAAAACATTTTAAATCATGCATACAGAGGTCTCATAGAAATGGGATCTAAGAAGTGGCCAAAGCAGGCAGCTTTTATACCTTTTAGACAAAGAAACAATAAAGTTGTGAAGCATTGGCAGGACAAAGAAACTTAGGTTTTGGGTGCTCAATAAAAAACCAAAACAGAATTTGGACTTAGGGTGGTAAATTAAATAAGTAACAAGATTTATGCAGGCTCCTCAGTCTGAATGATAATGATATCACTTAACTCTGGTGATAAGGGTGTCCTTCTACCTCCAGATGCAAGGAGGGCAACTTTCACACGAGAGATTTATTTCCTGCTTTCAGGGAGACAGAAAGGAGGGTCAGAGTGTCCCCCTTGTGATGTCTATTTCTTAAGTAACTTTGATTCAAAATAATATGCCATTGAGGTACATTTTGGGGTGGCCTACCCTGGGCCCCAATACCCCCTTACAGGATATAATCCACCAGGGATTTTTTAGTTGACAGCCTAGAGTGTTCCCTGGATCTGTCTCACTGGCAGTTCTACACTTCTAATCCTTGTATCCTCAGTATCTAGACATTGCCCCCCAAATCCATTTTTTTCCCAGATGTTTTCTGCTTAGCTTCTTAATCTTCCATTGTGCATGGCTTCAGATTTCAGAAAATGTCCTAATGGGTAAACAGTCTGAGTGGTTTACTAAGTTCCACACCCCTCCCTCGTATTCAATATGCTAAAAAAATTAGTCTCATTTTTGTCTTACAGTGCCCTTTGAGACCACCAAGACCTCTGCTGGTTTCTGTCTCTTAGCAGTTGCCCATTGCTTGGGTCCTTTATCTGGATCCTCAGTCTCTTATGCTATGCCTAGAATCAGTAAATGATCAAAGGATAAAAGAGGCCAGAGTTTTGGCTCACCCACCTGAGATTCATCCTTCCCCAGGATCTTGATGCTTAAGCCCTTTTTGCTTCAGCAGTCTGTTGATGTCTTCAGATTTTTAAGAGATTTATCCAGCTTTCATGGTTTCATGAAAGTTGATTTACCACAAGCTATTCCATCTTAGCTAGGAGTAGAATTCTCTTATTCATTTGTTTTTGACATTAATATTCATGTGAAATGAAATACAGATATCATTTGCCTTTGATATCTTCCTTTGCTACCTGGTATAATAAGATGTTCCACATTCATCTTAAACATTTCCTGCATTAAGCATGGAATCAGCTATTAAGGAATCTGTTATGTGTTGTTGCCTTCCTGTCAACCCCTGTATGGTCCTGGAAACAAACAGAAGATAACCTTAGAGATATGGCATTGTTTTCAGTAATCTTTATTAACCTACTTAGCTAAGTATTAACATGTTCACTATGGCACCAAAGAGTTGAACATTTCAGTGTGCGTGAGGTAGTGTGCTAGGAATGTTGCAGTCTGTTACTTCAAGCTCACAACTCTTTAGAACAGATACAGAAGAAGCTGAAGGTCAGAAAGGTTAATGTATCTGAATGTATATTTTTATTCATTCAACAGTTATTAAAGATTTGATGTGGTAGCAAAGATAAATACTGCCTTTACCTTTAAATAATTTTGGGTAATGGAACAGATTCATAAATAGATGTGTAAAGTTTGAGAGGTTTGATAACAGAGAACCTAGTGCTTGAGTAGCATAGGAGAGTGAGGTCTCATTTAACGAGGGAGTTGGCACCAC